AGTTTACCATTGTCACATAAAAGTGAAGGCCAACAAGAAGTGGTTACTTACATGAATTACTTGACCGGAAATGCAGTGACTGTTCGCCGAGTTGCTTATGATAATTATGCGTTTATTAAACAACAACAAACAAATTAACGAAAAGATACAACGTTTACTTGAACGACTAAAGGAAGGTAGTTTAGACGAAAACCAATATGTAGAAAAAGATAAAACGCTCTATTACCGAAACTTGAATTCAGACGGAACCGAAAATTTACAATGGTACTTTCCTAGATAGACTCGTTCGGGACCATTATGGATTTTTCACGACGAGCATGGCATTGCTCGTCGTAGGAGTTGAAAAAACTTATGAACCGATAGCTGAAAACTTCTGGTTTATTCGTATGAGGAATTTCATTAAAAGCTACATTAAACATTGAGTAGTGTGCGCAGTAAAGAAAACGAGGACAAGCCCTTGATAAGGATTTATAATTACGGAGAAATCCACTCATCCCTTCGACATATGGCATATGGATTGTTTATAGTCCCCTCCTCTGACATTTGATGGATATTGCGCATATTGCACATATTGCTAATAGTGTTCGCATTTAACAAATATTGCATCCTTTGACTCGCGAAAAGCTTCAAAGTGCTTCAAAGCTTTGTTTGGTACACCCTAAAGAATAATTATGGATGCTGGGACAACGCTATGAGATAAAAAATGTTGGAACCAATGTAGTCACCAAATCCGCGAAGGAGCAGTTAAGGTCGTGACCAACAATGATACTTCTAATATGCAGGACATCTTAGAGTGCCTAGAGGGAGATGACGAGGTAACTTAGCATGTATTAGGTGAGTTACTTTAATACTTTATTTGTCCTAGTTTGGTCTCTGTACCGATAGTGGTAGAACCATGTGGATGGCTAGGGTCTTCACAGTATTTTATTGTCTTTTTGGTCTCTGTCCCGATAGTGGTTGAGCCAAATGGAGCCAACGAAAACTTTATGGCCAATTTGACAAGTTATTTTTTCTCCTTCACGGAATTAGCCCAGCAGTGGTTTTATTTATTTATCGTATGGCTCTACAAGTGCTATATAATAGGTTACATACAAAATTTTTATGAAAGGTAGGTATAAGTGACAATTAATACAAGTAATGTAAAACCCAGTAATACACATTAAATATGACACAGACAGTACATATAACAGGTGCATGCGAGCAACCTAGCGGTATGGGAAAATTAAATCTACAGGTCCAAATCCAGTTCAGATAACCATGCAATGGCAGCGGGGCTTGCATCAGTAAAGTCTTTCCATTGTCCAGTAAATCTTCTCAGTGGGCAGTCTTGGACTATATGTGTTAATGTTTGCTCTTCAGCTCCACAGTCACATGCTGGATTGTCGGCAATTCCCCATTTGTGCATCGCTGATCTCGTTTTTGCATGTCCAGTTCTAACTCTATTTAATAGGGACCATGTTTTACGAGGTAGTTGCATCCCTGGGAGCTGTTTATTAGGATCTTCTATGTTGTGTTGATTGACATTGCTGTTATTCCATACGGATTTCCATGATTCAGAAGCGTCGTAGGTTTTTCCTGGAGCAAGTGCTTCCAAGTTCCATATTGGGGCCCTTGATTTCAGTCGATTCACACAGGGTTCATCGATTACCTTGTGAATAGGCCACGTTCTTGGCTGGTCTGGGTGATTTATCTTTTGCCATTCTTGGAATGTAGCCTGTTGTCTTCGGATTCCTGGGGGAGCGATATTTGATAGCACGTGGAGCCATGGTAAAGGAGTCGACTTCAGTGTCCCTGTTACTACTCTCATGGCTTCATTAAGTTGGGTGTCAATCTTATTTACATGAGAGATTCTGCCCCATACAGGAGCGCAATACTCCGCTACAGAGTATACAAGTGACTGTGTTGCAGTGCGTAAGGTAACTGCATTTGCTCCCCATGTGGTGCCTGCCAATTTACGTATGATGTTGTTTCGGGTTTTAAGTTTCTGGCATGTCAATTCAAGGTGCTTTTTAAAGCTGAGAGACCTATCGAGGACTACGCCTAGATATTTGGGGTGTTTGTTGTGTTTGACTGGTTCTCCACAAAACGTGACATTTAGTTCTCTGTGCGCCATCCTGTTATTTAAGTGGAAGGCACATGTCTCTGTTTTATTTGGGTTCGGCCGCAGTCTCCATTTTTGGAAGTATTGGTTTAAGGTTTCTAAGTCGGCTGTTGTGGTTGTTTTTCCTTCTTCAAGGTGTTTATTTTGAGTGGCTATAGCCATGTCGTCTGCGTAACAAAACTTACGTGACGTAGTATTTGGGGTGTCACTTATGTAAACATTAAAAAGTAGTGGAGCCAGTACTGAGCCTTGAGGGAGACCGTTTTTAATGCTTCTTGATTTGCTACTTGATGTGCCTAAAGTGACCTTGAAATAGCGACCTTTCAGCATTCTTTCCAGTAATCTGGTTAGTTTCATGCAAGGGATCATTTTCATGAGTTTCAGGATCAGCCCATCTATCCACACTGTGTCGTATGCTGCGCTAAGATCGACAAAGGCCACTGATGTTTTTAGGCCTTTCTGAAATCCTGCTTCAATGTAAGAGGTGAGGGCCAGTACTTGTTTGCAGCAACTACGGTTTGGTCTGAATCCTGGTTGCTCATGCGGTAGATGTTCATTTATAATAGGGCATATTCTGTTGTAGATCATCTGTTCCAATAGTTTATAACAGATGCACAGCAAGGCTATAGGGCGGTAGTTTGCTGGGGTTTCAGGACTTTTTCCTGGTTTGAGGATAGCGAGAGTGTGAGACATTAAATTCATTTGGAAGCCGTGCTGTATTCAGTATGTCGTTAAAGAAGTCTTTAATCCATGTTCTTGCTTTTGGGCCTAGGTGTTTAATAAATTCAGGGAAAATGTTGTCGACACCAGCTGCTTTCCTTAGTTTAAGGCTTTTTATAGCAGTGTTCACCTCGTCGTTAGTAAAAGGGGTTGAAAACTGTGCGTCTTCTTGTAATGTATTCCTCTTCTGATCTAGTTCGTTTTGTACTGATGTCATGTCCTCTTTGCTTATGGTTACGCACTCGGCTCTTTCTTTGATGTGTATCGCGATCTCATTTGGCGATACTGCTGGTTTGGGGATTGGTATGTGGGTTGCAGCCCCCAGTCGTCTCAATAGGGACCAGCTTTTTCGACTTGAGTGGGTAAAATTCAGGTTTTCTGTGGTTTCTTCCCATCTTTTCCTTCTTTGTTGATTTAGAGATTCCAGCAGTCTACTGCCCACTTGAGGGTTATTTGTTTCCCTGTACTCTTGATATAAGTTTTCTGTATCAGAATTCCAGCATGGTATGTAGTGTTTTCTATGTCCCCTGGGAATATTTCTCTTGGCCGTCGCAATCATGAGGCCAACAAACCTGGTGTAGTTTCCGACTTTAGGTTGAACAAACCGTATATTTGATTCCATTTCTCTTTTGTATGTAGGCCAGTCCGCTTTCCTGAAGTTCCATCTTGGCTTTTGGACTGATTCTATCAGTGGGACCTGTATACCAATGGTTACAGTGACTGGACGGTGTTGAGTACGAAGGAAACTAGGAAGCACCCTCCTTATATGTGGCAAGGGGGTTCGTTCCTCATCAGTGGAGACAATACATAAGTCAGGGTTGGTATCTGTCTGCCATCGTGCTGAGAGGAAGGTTTTCAGGTCTTTAGCGTCATAAATGAGATATAGATCTTGTTCTTCAATCCATTGCATCAAGGTTTCTCCATTGTCGTCATTAGTATTGTATCCCCAGCTGGTGTGGTGGCTATTGAAATCCCCGAGAAAAATTGTTGGGGTGTTTTCATTTAGGAGTGGAGGATCTTATGTGAGGTGGTTTATATATTGAGACTATACGTATTTGGGGAAGTTCGATTTTTATTGTTTCTATGTCATTTGCATTGGTCTTCTTTCCCACAGTAAAGTTGTCAAGGTCACTGCGCAGGTACATGATAGATCCGTACGTTTCCGAAAGGATTGCTTCCACTGCTTTGTAACCGGGGACCTTAGCTCTAGTTGAAATTTCGGTTTCATTTGCTAGATGTGTTTCCTGCAGTGCAATAACATCAATTTGGCTTTCCCTGGCCACTCTGCCAAGGTGCTCGCATTTGTCACGGCTTATACCCTCTATGTTCAACTGCAGAATTCGGACTGAGGGTCCGATATTTATTGTCTTCTTGCTCTGAGAAGAGCGTTTTTCTCGTTTTGGTTGCACTTGTTCGTGTTGGCCGTGAGAGACTCGTTGTCTAGTTCCGCCGCCATTTGTGTAAACTTTTTGCCGCTCTGCTGGCGCAGTGCGTTGCCCAGGGTACACCATCTTGGAGGTTGTTTACACGTCGTACCCCAGTGGTGAGACGCCGAGATCGTCGCCGTTGTCAGTACTGTAGTGTTAAAAAAGTGCCAATTATAAGAACTTTATTATCGCATAGTATTTACATAAATGTAGGCGCCGCCGGTCGGCCGAATTGAAGCAGACAACAAGTATTTCGTAAACCATTCAGTTCGAGGCTCTCAGAGGTTTTATTTAGATTTATATTTTTGCATTTAAAAAGTGTTAATACATAATTCGTGTAATAGTGCGGTTGTGTTGGATTGTTCTGTTTTTATTTATTTCTAACAATTCATACTATAAAATGCAGTTTGATAAGTAGTCTGCATTTTGTTTAAATCTAAATAATCAAAACGCTTCCAGTGGAGCAATGAGACGAAGTTTAAATTGGCGGAAAAATAAAATTGCACCGTGTCGATGTAAAACGATAGCTAGTTATCTACGGCCTATTAGTCGGCCAGAAACTCGACACCCTGCGATGGCAGCTCCGGTGAGTATCAACTCCGGCTGCTGATTTCACGGCTGTTATTTCCTGGGCTCCGGAGCATGCTTGGGATCGGCACGGTCCGCCCGGAATCGGGAAATTTCGTGGTTCAGGTCTAGCAATCCGGGCGGAGCCTTCGGGAACTTGTCGCAGTCGTGTCGTTGCTGCACGGCAGGGTTTGTTTCGGGACATTTTCGGGACGCAACAACCTAATTACGCGATGCACCACGAGACAGCGACGCCGTAACGTCGCACGCCAAGGACGTACTCAAACGTCAAGGTGTAAAGTCTCTCGTAGACGCGCCCGGACTAATATAATGGATAAAGTTTTCCCTTTAAGTGTTCGTTGTTTGTCGGTGTGTCGTGTTCTGTGTATCAATTTAAGTGACACCTACGTTATCGGGATCTAACCCGGGATTATAAGACGTCTTGTGTTTCTAGGTATAGCTCAAGGTCGAGGTTCGTCTTCTAGAATTAAGGAATATAATTGTAAAGATAAGGTAAATTTACCTTAGATCTTAGGTTCTTTACGTATCACAAATCTAATTTTTGTCTTTTCCTTCCTCCTTTCATTGAATTCGAAATATCGCAGAGAGAGACAAATATGGAAAAGAAAAATGCTACGAGGACAAGAAAATTAGTTTTGCGATACTCAGTGAAATTCGTTGCTCTACTAATATACAGAGTGAACCAGATCTTTCCTGACAATGTTGTAACAGTTGGGAGGAAATCATTTTGTTAGTCATTCTGCGCTTCGCTGGTTTCTCGAAAAGTGCGATTGGAAATTATCTGAGAAACAGGATTTAGTTTGTAGTACCGTGCGCCCACTTTATCTTAATAACATTTTGATTGGCGGCGACTTGTTTGATATTGATTGGTTATTTAGATATCATCGTAAATAAAAAAAACAAAACGGTATGGTTAGAAGTTATATTATGTTCTAGGAAATGCAAATAATGATCTCCACTTAATTTTTGATCTACTAATTGCGTACCCAAAATATTATTACATTAATGGGCTGCTATGTATGTAGTATTTATAGTCCGGTATCGTATATTTTGTTTATTACAGCCTTTTCTGGTGGCGAACGAAGTTTCATTGGTCAGTATAATATATTTCTTTAAATTACTATTTTAGTCATATCTATCCAAAAATTCCCAAACAAGACTGCATCCTCCTCTGACATTGATGTTCACTATGCTTATAGGTTTTTCGAAATTTAAACGCAGTGGATTGAACTACGAGAAATATCTCTCCCCAGTTAGGCTATTTTAAATTTTTTCAATCAAAACACGTTGCAAATATATGTTCCTAAGGAACGCGGAATAAAGTCTAACATGCTTGGGTTACTCATCTATTTTTGAATTCTGAATCCCAGTCACAGAACTCTTCAAGATTATATAAAAATTTTCTATTTTGAATAATATGTCAAAAACAAATGGAATAAAATAAAACGTGTTCGATTGAATAAAGATGAATTATACAGGGAAAACATCAAATATGAGGAGATCTGAGAAAATTGTTAGTGTTTTGTGTAACGAGTAATTTAGGAAAATGCTAAGCTTAATAGTTTTTTTAATTTGAATTAAAACCAAAAAAGTTACGGGCAATCAAAATATTATCAAGCTAGCGATTTTTTGTCTTGCGGTGTACGTTACGCTTTTTGCACTTGTAACACGAGTAGCTGCCTACGTTGCTGTGCTATACTTATCAGATGATACACACCTTTACGTAACCGGCTGGTTAAATGCGCCACCTCTACACCGTTGAACGGTCTACAACGGTTATGATACTTGGCAAAAACATGGAGAACATTGAACCTAGATTTAATGTTACGGAGGAGGAGATGTCGTAATTAGTTACACGAACCATGCAAGGAGTTTAGTGTTGCATCGTGACACATTTCTTTGGTTTCGCATTCGGGAATCTAACATTTTTATTTCTAAGTCGTAACGGTAATTTGAAAAAAACTAAGAACAACTTTATGTGATTCTTTAGTGTTATGGCAATTTAATCTTTGTGATATGATTGGATAAAATTAATAAATATATAATTCAAAGGGTACAGAAATTAATTAGAATTGTAGTTGAACTATACCTCACTTGCTGAAGGATTGTTTTCATATAACAGTAATACAATATATTTTGAACAATCTTAAAATTCTAAATGAAAGTTCCTTCGAAAGAAATTATAAACGGCACCTTATAGGCGTTGGGTGATATCTAGTGTGCATTACTATGCTAGTACTTATGCTCTGACTCCTTACTTCTTGCCCTTTTATGCTGCTGTTATTAGTTTTGCACTCTACTTGTGTTGTTTCATCAAAAATTGTTTGATTTATTCTTAAAATATTGAAGCTGCAAGGGTGTAGAGGCCGGTTATAGTATTTTCGTATTATAAAAGTTAGAAGTGTTCATGTGATATTGAATGACACTTATTTTGATATCCGTCGACGGAAAGACGGCCGTCTTGTTTGACGTATGCATACGAAATCTAGACGACTACCGGTAATACCGTTTGTTTATCGCGAAATGTCCGACGCGAGAGGTGTCAACAAAAAACATCATATACATTTTGGCGCAGTTAATTCAAATAAAAATAAAGACATCAATTGTTCTAGGTGTCGGTTCTAATCTGCGATCAAATTTAATTTGTAATATGATTTGGAGTACTGTAATTGAGATATAACATTTTATTATTTGTTTTCTGCAAATCAACCTTATTATTATTATAACTATATAAACTTCCAAATGACAGTGTTGCACATTTCAAGAAAACATGTGAGATGAAAAGAAGAAAGCCGGCGTGTTAATAATGTGTACAAACTTTTTTCATTAAATTTAAATTGTCTTAATGGCTTTCAGTAATTAACTCTACCTTAGTAAAAATACACACGCGCGGTATCAGATTGTAATGATTTTTCCGAACGTTAAAACGGTTTTTCTACCTGTAAACAGTGGGTCGTACATAAAAAACAAGAGATCAAATTTACTACAAATTTAATGGGAAGAATTTCCATTTTTAGAGAAAATAATTTCTCTATCCAGAAGAATAAAAAACTTAGTAATATTTAAATTATAATAAGAAAACAACTCATTTCTTAGAACCCTCGGACTTAGATAAAAAACATGGAGCCAATTTTCGTACAGTTGTTTAATATGGGCACTCAACTAATATTTGAAAAATTTTGGCGAGTTAGCCCTGGTTTGATTTGATTTTTTACAAATTGGCTATTAGCATTTTCAATTTCAGTTTAATTTATATGTTGAATTTCAAACTGTTTTTTGTTCGATTTTTTTGTGACCAGTTGCGTTTCGATTAAAAAATGATTTTGATGAAAAATTTTCCATTGCATTCAGGCCTGGAAGAGCGCTTCGACGTCATCGATCTAAAATTCCTTTGTAAGTCGACTTATATTAGATAGCCCATTTATCATTTCATATTGAAGACGAAATGAAAAAAATGTGTCGAGAATTTAGAGCGCCAATATCCTTTTCCTTATTTGAACATATTACACTTGAAATGTGTTCAAGGCTGATTGTCTCTCTCCACAACACTAAAGTAAAGTGCGTAGGTAATTCCATTTCAAATGATTAGTGGTTAGTGGTTATGGAGATGTAAAGTCTGTTCATAGATATAAGAAAGTGACAAACTGATAATAATTAAGGAAAGACCCGGGCAAGCTGTAAAAATGAAATATGGCCGAACAGGTCCGTACTTTGCTTAGAATTTTATTATTTGAGGTTTTGTTAGGAAAGATACTAAACAATATATATTTATTTATGTATGTATTTATGTTTAAATCTAAAATAAAATTACAAATTATTTTTATTACCTACTTAAATTACTTAAAATTATTCACATAATATATGAGCATTACTATCGCTATCATCGCCTATTCTAATTATTATTACTTGCAATATGGATATACGATTGTTCTGCTTTTTCTATATGTTTAACAGAATTTGCCCAACTTTGTTGAGGGATGTTAAAAACTTCGGTTTCTCTAAGTTTGAGGACATTGGAGTTAACACGGGGAAAAATATTGTTACGACGAATGGCGGATGTCAGTTGGTGGCAAACATGTTCAATGGGATTAAATATACAGTGGTAAGGCCTTAAAACTGTATGCCCTATTATTATTATTATTATACATATACTACTGTGATAACTTGCATTGTCCATTACAATGACGCTATTAGGAGGAATGTTTGGAACTAGTTTGTTTTTAAATCAACTTTCAAATAAATCAGCAGTGGTTTCTTCATGGTAATCCAGAAAAGAATCTTTAATATTTTTCGCAGACAGAGATAGTCCATTTGGAATCCAACCATCTTTAGAGGCAACATGCAAAATAGTTATTCTTTTACCTCCTTTTGATGGTGCGTTTGTTTTACACTTATCAGTTGGGTTAACTCAACCCTTTTCCGGGATATCGTAAGTGTCGAACCATGTTTCATCCAAGTAAATAATTGGCCTTTGTTGTTTTCGGTAAATCCTAATTTTTTCTAGATATTCCAGTCGTCATTTCCAAATTCTAAAAGATTCCATTAAAACTTGCTTTTTGTCAATTTTTTTAAATCTAAAACTCATGTGTTCACCGGTTTCATCATTTTCAAGTCTCCTAATTAAGATATCAAATGTAGGCACTCTTTGTTCCTCGTATAACTGGTAAATTTTACGCCGCATTATATCTTGAACACTTTCATCTACACTCGACAAAAAGTCAGCATCGCTTCTTTTTTTCCTCGCTGAAATGGGATTATTCACAATTTTCCATACAGTTAATGTTGGAATTTTCGTCAATGTGGCCGTTTCTTCTAAAGATGCTTGCTTGCTGGCACCACGTTCAATGAGAGTCAATAAACATTGTTTATAATTTCCTTAGTCTCAATAGAATAGTGTTTTCTACATTTGGGCGGGAGCGTCTCCTGAGATACACTAGACTCGCACATATTATACACGAAATAAGAATGATTATTAATAAACTTAAACTAAGCAGTGTATCAAACCAAAGAATATTAAACACAGGTAGGTATAAAATTATTTTCTATTACGGACCACAATTTTACCTGAATTTACATTCCGAAACTTTAGGTAATAATCTTGTTGCATTGTATGTTTATGACCACCCTTGGATAATCCCGTTCAAAAGCAATTGGTCACTTTCTTCTATCTATGAACAGACCATACCCTTCTAGAACTTTTCTCTTCGAACACACTTGAGGTTTAGTCAATATTTTGTCTAATTTTGTGAATATTTAACACGATGTTTTTCGATCACATATAACCAATACGAACTGGGAATAGAAAGCTCAATTATCGGGTTCATCAAAGTATAAAAATTTATTACAGTGAGGTTTTTTCCAATAATTACCGAAAAGTGTTATTTTATTTTTAAGTCGATGAAAGCTGATTTGACCGATTTGAATCAGAGTTGTATAAACGCACAAACTGTCACTTTGTCATCTCCATTAAATACAGACTCAAGGCACTTCGAGCGTTTCCGGTAGCCGGTAGCCACGAGAGCGATGGGAGTAGAGATATGTATAATATAGGCTTCCCCCACTCCTCTCCCTTTTGTGGGCGTGTCCTCCTTCCCCACGACTCTCTAGCTCCTCCGCCTTTACCCATAATCCCTTGAAACTGGCCCCCATTGGATAAGCAACCAGAAATGCGGTTTAATCAATCTCCCCACCTCTAGTTTGCGATGGCGGCGAAGCCAATCAGAGCCCAGATATTTTCCCACCCCTAAGAAAAGCAATGGCGTCAATGAGACTTGTTCATATTGTTCGCGTGACCATCTGCACCCTCTAGCGGTTCGAATGTAAAGTAGTGTCCCCTCTTGGAATAAGATTTTCTTTAAAAAGGTAACCCCACCTAGTGAATATTGACCAAAACATTTATTTTAAAAACATATAATTCTGCGAATGTGTACCCTCGCGGGTACAAACTGTACTTTTATTGCGCACAAAGGACAGGGGAAATAAAGACGAAAAGTGTTGGATTTCTTTTCTCGGAACTGGAAGCTGGCAGGCACCACCAATAATATCTGCAAAACAAAAACCTGGCTAAAATTTTCATTAATAAAGTAGGATATTAGAAACCGTATGCCTTTTTAATTTACTAAGCCATCTACCGTGCGTTAACTTCATACATATTTCCGCATGCTTCTGTTTTAAGGTATCGTGAAATATTTGACTATTTATCTGGGAAAAGTTCATATGTCGAAAATATTATGTGTATGTGGCCGTGGTAGGCTTTCTTTGCTATTATAATTTTATTTTTATTATTTAATATTTACAAAATTAATTTATCTATCTTATTGATGATTTTGATTTTCTTTGCTATTTTTATTATTTAATATTTTCAAAATTAATTTATCTATCTTATTGATGATTTTAAGATATTGCAGTCAACTTTACTATTTCATCAATTTCTTTTATTTATTGCTGATCTTTGAGGATCTTAGTGATAGTGTACATACTTTTTTTCGTAACTTATCTGTATCTACCCTTTAATTTCCTATCAATCCATAAAGCAAACTCGAAAGGCATCTTAACTAAAAAGTCATATACTTTAAAGCTGCTGCGACTACTACATGAAAGTGTGTTTCTATGCAATCTCAACAATAATGAAATCTGGACGCTTATATTAAATACTGTAATACTCTTCTCTGCTAACGCTCTAGGAGACGCTATTTGAACCCTGTTCAAAGAAAAACTTCTACAGCCCAAATAACCTCTCTGAACCATACTTAAGCGCATCACTCTTTCACTGTCTTGCAGCCTTCAGATTAATATTCCGTACTAACTACGTATGCCATACACGAAACGTTCTATTTTCTAATTTTTTTTTTATGCGCTACATTAACGAACAGGATCTAAACTTTTCTGTCTGTGTATTTTGCTAGCCACCTTAAAAAATTAAAAAAAAGGTATGCGAACCTAGAGGATATTTTCCATATTTTTCACAAATGGTGACAACAATTAATGCAAGTATTATTTTTAATAATAATCCATCTTTCGCTAAGACACGAAAACATCGACTTTTTAATTCTAATTTTTCGCATAGAGCTTCCCTTTAGTCTCTATCTGTTCTTTAACTAAATCCCCACCTTTTTGAAAAACCAACCTCTAAAAATAGTTAATTTTCTCTAATTTAAATTTGTACGTTTTCCGCAATATGTGTGAATATTTTCGCTAGAGCATTTAGTTACTTAGTACATGTCCTAATCAATATTTTAAAAATATAATTCTAATGATACGTGTTTACGATTTGAAGATAACGAAACATTCCCCAGTTTCATAAATGAGAGCTCACTGCCAAACTACCAAACATCACAGTACAAACTACCGTACTACGCCCCCCCTGGACAAAATCAGGTCAGTCAGCGTCATTAATTCTACCTGCGTTAACGAATAGCGTATTGTTAATTAAGGTTTAATACGCAGAAAATTTAAGTAACAAATAATCGCAATGAAACTCACTAACATCATAAATTATTAAAAAAAATTAGAACAGTTGGAATTTACTGGAGTAACCAATTTGGCACTAAAAATGGAAATTTTCGATACTCTACTAGGTGCCTACAATAAATTTTACTATTATTTTTAATGCAGAGACACAACGATTTTCTAGTTCTGAATTTGATCAGGGGTATATGACCATAGTTTACGCCGACTCTAAAAGGCATGCAGTCTATTGTTTTTGAACGCCCCATTTTGTGTATTATGTTCAAAACAGAGACTCTCTGGGCTTACGACTACAGCTACCAGCTACTACTTTCAATAATATTAACACAAAAAAAGTAGGTGGCATTTCTATAATACGTGCAAAGTTTATGTGAAACTGACTGGAAGACAGAGTAATGCACCAATATGTTACTAAACATATTTCGATAGAATTCCGTAAGAGCTTACCTCCAAGTTTCCTCATTTAGTCAGTCAAAGCATCAAATGGGAAATTCCAATCCAACATATGTAGTGGTGGAAATATATCAATCGCCTACGTTACCGATGGTACCCGACTGAAGCTTCTGCGTCTTCTTTACCCCACATGCCTACTTAAAAAGATACTGGTCTAAGTCTCAATATTCCTGTTAAAAAAAGAGAGGTTCTATATTGCCATAAATATGTGTTTTCAAAATTTTACCTGAATGGTTCGTGATTCCTTATATATGCAGTGTTGGCAGCAATGTGGCGACGACTACGCTGAAACTTTCCATATCTCGTGTCCCCATGACTGGTCTGTTTCATATATCAAACCTCACCTCGCACGGGTTTGAACCTCCTTTAAAAAAAAAAAAAACAGGCAAGACTTGTACTTATATCAAAGTAATACGAGGAACTTATATTTTATGCCAAAACTTATTTCATCACCTCCAAAGGGGAGTAGGGGGTTTCTAAAGTATGGTAGGTACATCTCTTTCATTTTTTAATTAAAAAAATGACACAATTACGCGACGTAACTCGATCCGGATCGTTAACGCGTCTCAAGATGGGGGTTTAGAGATGCTGAGGTCATTAAATTGATTCACTATTACCAGTACACACTGAAACCCCTTATTTCCAAAATAAAAAAATTGTTAACTGTTAACACAACAAAAAAAACTATTTTCTCACCAATTATATTTCTGGGTCGTTTTCAGAATTTGTCCAACGTAGAATCCCAAGAGGATAGGGCCGCAATTTCGAAAAATTATCATGTCTCCCCACTATGCATTTGTACAAGAAGCAGGGCCGGATTAACAGCAATTATATTCTTGTCAGTCAACATACAGCCGCCGATTGAATTCTCGGATTCTGCTTTACTAGTTGCCATGGTCTGTCAAATATGTTACTTAAAAATTGTATATTTTTTTTTTACAAATAATATACCTTTCCTTAAATAATTCCGCCTTTGTCAAGTTGGACACTGGCACGTCTGTCCGCTTTGAAAAGCGCAGGCGTATGTATCTTCCAAAATGATCCAAGCAGGCCCGGATTGCCAGCAAATACACAACTCCCCGATTCAATTCTGAGATGTTGCTTCACGAGTTACCATGATCTGTCAAATATTTTAATTAAAAAAAAATCTATTATTCAGCAACAATATACCTTTTTAAAAATAATTTCGTCTTTTTTCAAGTTCAACAGGACACGTGTGTTCGTTTCAGTTGGACAAGGGCACGTCTGTCCGCTTTGAAAAGCGCGCCGTATGTATCTTCCAAAATGATCCAAATTGTTAACCTTTTTTTGATTCCTCGTTCCCCGATTCAATTCTGAGATGTTGCTTCACGAGTTACCATGATCTGTCAAATATTTTAATTAAAAAAAATCTATTATTTAGCAACAATATACCTTTTTAAAAATAATTTCGTCTTTTTTCAAGTTCAACAGGACACGTGTGTTCGTTTCGAAAGGTTTCGTAGTCTGTAGCTCTGTCGAATTCTCCAAAATTCGTTAAACCTTCAGATATTTTCAAAATTTGTCCAACGCAGACTTCCACTCACGCAGTTTCGAAAACTTTCTGGTCTCCCCGCCATGCATTTGTACACGAAGCCGTTCTGGACTATCAGCAAACAGCACATCCGTCATTTTTCTTCTCGGATTCCGCTTGACGAGTTACATCGATCTGTCAAATATTTAATGTAAAACAATCTTATCTATTACTTTTACCCAATATTAAGTACCTATTCAAAATTAGTAGCGCCTTTTCGAGTTCGAAAGGTTTCGTAGCCTATAGCCCTGCCGAAATGGCATTGCATTTGTACACGAAGCAGGGTCGGATTGTAAGCAATCAGCACCCCCGGTCACTTTTCTTCTCGGATTCTGCTTGACGAGTTACATCGATCTGTGGAATATTTAGCGTAAAAAAAAAAATATCTATTACTTTTTGGTAAAAGTGTACAAATGCATGGCGGGGAGACCAGAAAGTTTTCGAAACTGCGTGAGTGGAAGTCTGCGTTGGACAAATTTTGAAAATATCTGAAGGTTTAACGAATTTTGGAGAATTCGACAGAGCTACAGACTACGAAACCTTTCGAAACGAACACACGTGTCCTGTTGAACTTGAAAAAAGACGAAATTATTTTTAAAAAGGTATATTGTTGCTAAATAATAGATTTTTTTTAATTAAAATATTTGACAGATCATGGTAACTCGTGAAGCAACATCTCAGAATTGAATCGGGGAACGAGGAATCAAAAAAAGGTTAACAATTTGGATCATTTTGGAAGATACATACGCCGCGCTTTTCAAAGCGGACAGACGTGCCCTTGTCCAACTGAAACGAACACACGTGTCCTGTTGAACTTGAAAAAAGACGAAATTATTTTTAAAAAGGTATATTGTTGCTGAATAATAGATTTTTTTTTAATTAAAATATTTGACAGATCATGGTAACTCGTGAAGCAACATCTCAGAATTGAATCGGGGAGTTGTGTATTTGCTGGCAATCCGGGCCTGCTTGGATCATTTTGGAAGATACATACGCCTGCGCTTTTCAAAGCGGACAGACGTGCCAGTGTCCAACTTGACAAAGGCGGAATTATTTAAGGAAAGGTATATTATTTGTAAAAAAAAAATATACAATTTTTAAGTAACATATTTGACAGACCATGGCAACTAGTAAAGCAGAATCCGAGAATTCAATCGGCGGCTGTATGTTGACTGACAAGAATATAATTGCTGTTAATCCGGCCCTGCTTCTTGTACAAATGCATAGTGGGGAGACATGATAATTTTTCGAAATTGCGGCCCTATCCTCTTGGGATTCTACGTTGGACAAATTCTGAAAACGACCCAGAAATATAATTGGTGAGAAAATAGTTTTTTTTGTTGTGTTAACAGTTAACAATTTTTTTATTTTGGAAATAAGGGGTTTCAGTGTGTACTGGTAATAGTGAATCAATTTAATGACCTCAGCATCTCTAAACCCCCATCTTGAGACGCGTTAACGATCCGGATCGAGTTACGTCGCGTAATTGTGTCATTTTTTTAATTAAAAAATGAAAGAGATGTACCTACCATACTTTAGAAACCCCCTACTCCCCTTTGGAGGTGATGAAATAAGTTTTGGCATAAAATATAAGTTCCTCGTATTACTTTGATATAAGTACAAGTCTTGCCTGTTTTTTTTTTTTTTAAAGGAGGTTCAAACCCGTGCGAGGTGAGGTTTGATATATGAAACAGACCAGTCATGGGGACACGAGATATGGAAAGTTTCAGCGTAGTCGTCGCCACATTGCTGCCAACACTGCATATATAAGGAATCACGAACCATTCAGGTAAAATTTTGAAAACACATATTTATGGCAATATAGAACCTCTCTTTTTTTAACAGGAATATTGAGACTTAGACCAGTATCTTTTTAAGTAGGCATGTGGGGTAAAGAAGACGCAGAAGCTTCAGTCGGGTACCATCGGTAACGTAGGCGATTGATATATTTCCACCACTACATATGTTGGATTGGAATTTCCCATTTGATGCTTTGACTGACTAAATGAGGAAACTTGGAGGTAAGCTCTTACGGAATTCTATCGAAATATGTTTAGTAACATATTGGTGCATTACTCTGTCTTCCAGTCAGTTTCACATAAACTTTGCACGTATTATAGAAATGCCACCTACTTTTTTTGTGTTAATATTATTGAAAGTAGCAGCTGGTAGCTGTAGTCGTAAGCCCAGAGAGTCTCTGTTTTGAACATAATACACAAAATGGGGCGTTCAAAAACAATAGACTGCATGCCTTTTAGAGTCGGCGTAAACTATGGTCATATACCCCTGATCAAATTCAGAACTAGAAAATCGTTGTGTCTCTGCATTAAAAATAATAGTAAAATTTATTGTAGGCACCTAGTAGAGTATCGAAAATTTCCATTTTTAGTGCCAAATTGGTTGCTCCAGTAAATTCCAACTGTTCTAATTTTTTTTAATAATTTATGATGTTAGTGAGTTTCATTGCGATTATTTGTTACTTAAATTTTCTGCGTATTAAACCTTAATTAACAATACGCTATTCGTTAACGCAGGTAGAATTAATGACGCTGACTGACCTGATTTTGTCCAGGGGGGGCGTAGTACGGTAGTTTGTACTGTGATGTTTGGTAGTTTGGCAGTGAGCTCTCATTTATGAAACTGGGGAATGTTTCGTTATCTTCAAATCGTAAACACGTATCATTAGAATTATATTTTTAAAATATTGATTAGGACATGTACTAAGTAACTAAATGCTCTAGCGAAAATATTCACACATATTGCGGAAAACGTACAAATTTAAATTAGAGAAAATTAACTATTTTTAGAGGTTGGTTTTTCAAAAAGGTGGGGATTTAGTTAAAGAACAGATAGAGACTAAAGGGAAGCTCTATGAGAAAAATTAGAATTAAAAAGTCGATGTTTTCGTGTCTTAGCGAAAGATGGATTATTATTAAAAATAATACTTGCATTAATTGTTGTCACCATTTGTGAAAAATATGGAAAATATCCTCTAGGTTCGCATACCTTTTTTTTAATTTTTTAAGGTGGCTAACAAAATACACAGACAGAAAAGTTTAGATCCTGTTCGTTAATGTAGCGCATAAAAAAAAAATTAGAAAATAGAACGTTTCGTGTATGGCATACGTAGTTAGTACGGAATATTAATCTGAAGGCTGCAAGACAGTGAAAGAGTGATGCGCTTAAGTATGGTTCAGAGAGGTTATTTGGGCTGTAGAAGTTTTTCTTTGAACAGGGTTCAAATAGCGTCTCCTAGAGCGTTAGCAGAGAAGAGTATTACAGTATTTAATATAAGCGTCCAGATTTCATTATTGTTGAGATTGCATAGAAACACACTTTCATGTAGTAGTCGCAGCAGCTTTAAAGTATATGACTTTTTAGTTAAGATGCCTTTCGAGTTTGCTTTATGGATTGATAGGAAATTAAAGGGTAGATACAGATAAGTTACGAAAAAAAGTATGTACACTATCACTAAGATCCTCAAAGATCAGCAATAAATAAAAGAAATTGATGAAATAGTAAAGTTGACTGCAATATCTTAAAATCATCAATAAGATAGATAAATTAATTTTGAAAATATTAAATAATAAAAATAGCAAAGAAAATCAAAATCATCAATAAGATAGATAAATTAATTTTGTAAATATTAAATAATAAAAATAAAATTATAATAGCAAAGAAAGCCTACCACGGCCACATACACATAATATTTTCGACATATGAACTTTTCCCAGATAAATAGTCAAATATTTCACGATACCTTAAAACAGAAGTATGCGGAAATATGTATGAAGTTAACGCACGGTAGATGGCTTAGTAAATTAAAAAGGTATACGGTTTCTAATATCCTACTTTATTAA